TCCCGCCCCCCCCCCCGCGTTGTAAAATCCAATGTAATGCGAAATATAATATACATATCGCGCGCGCGCATGAGATATACATATAGGCAATACGCAATTTCCGTACACGGCTCGTAACGTGTCATCGTGTAAATAAATAAAAATTGTGTCGTCGTATGTTGTTGGCGGAACGAAATCCGGTCGAATTAACAAACCAGTGGAACGGGAGTGAATATTTAATTACGCCATTTGTTTATCCCATTCCGCCGAATCGCTAATTCGCGCGGCCGAGTGTCCGATATCCTCGAACAATAAGCGGCCGTGTATTAAGCTCTATTTACATTTCTCATTATAACGGTCAAATTATCGTTGCTCTGGCGCTTATGACTTTGTGACGTGTCGTTGTAATTTTATTTAACATTATTTATCATGATAATGGAAATGGAATAAAATCCGTATATACGTGGAGTATAACGTGAGTGCGGCGCGAATAACTCAGGAGGGTTATAAGCTCTATTTGAAAATAAATTCCAGGTTAATTCTCCAGAATATAATTAGATTTGCAAGGCTGCAGTTTAATTTGTCAAATCGTTCCCTTTAATCGCTCTTTTTTTAATTAATTAATCAAAGCTGATTAATATCTCGTCGATAAAGCAAGCTATATTTCTTCCTAATCTAGCATCTTCAGATAACGTACATAATTCTTTTTTTTTTAGGGGTGCGTCTCACATCATGTATCATCGCTTTATCGTTTTAATTTTTAATCGGTATAGCGTTTCAAACTTAACATTCTTAATTAATAAATGCTATTAATTCATAAAGGCGATGTTTGTCCTTACATGACGTGTACTGAGTGACTCGTAAACGTCTTAGATGTCTTGATTAATTTAAAAACTATTAACTATTAACGTGACCGCGGGCTGATGAGCGCATGGATTAGGCCCATTAGGCTGAGAAAGTCGCTCGCGTGGCTCGATGTTGTCTTATTTATGACGAAGAACGCTTTGTGAATCACGTGTGCATCGATAACAAGATCGGGCATCGTCTCGTGACCGATCGATATCGCGTTGCACGCGAGGAACATGCAACACGCGCTTGACGGACGCGCTCCTCGGCGCCGGGAGTAAGAAAGTTATTAATAGAAGCAAGTCTTTAAGAATTAATTTATTTATCACTTGTCACTAGTATAGCGTTGTCGTCAAATAGATTCGCTACAGTCCCGCTTTGGTCACAATTATTTTTCGAGTAGATTAATTCACCGTGATTAATTTAGAATCGACTTCCCGTCGATCCAAAACACTTCTCTTCGACAGAAAAAAAAATTTCACGAAGGACTCGCATATTTCGTCTTTCCATTCCGGACGAAAGAGAATCGCGCTCGATGACCCCGGGCTCGATACGAGAAAATTCCTTGCATCCGACGCATTGCCAGCAAGCTCGCGCGCAATAACGCGACGCGCGCTACGCTGTACGCTAATCAAGAACGAGAATGCTACGGACGCTAATAACATTTTTATCGTCTCGCTGCCGTAATTACTATTTATCCGTTTTACCTTGATTGTTCGAGAGAGTTCAAGTCGCCTTCGGTACGGCGGCTGTATATTCTGTATAGCGCAGCTAGATCGATCTTTTCTCATTGCTTAACCCTTTCGTTACTATACAGGCGACTAGAGAGCTTCTAATTAGAGTGGCGCTATACGGCTGTCATTTTTGATTGGTGGTTTTTGTGTGTTGGATAAACTGAGATAGACTGTTGGATATAGACTAGGTGAGACCAACGACACATATTATATATATGTATATAGACCGAGCATTCTATCCACAGCATGAGGCCGGAAGTTGGCAGAATACGACTGAGAGAGATAACATTTGGGGGAAATGCTGCATCTCATTTTATCCTACAGTAAGATGGCCGATGTCAACAGTTGTCAACTGATACCAGCGTCATCTTGCAGTAAGATAAAAGAGAGAGCATTCCCCTCAAATTACACTATCTCTCTCAGTCGTATTCTGCCAACTTCCGGCCTCATGCTGTGGATAGAATGCTCGGTCTATATATACCCTGTCGTTGGTCTCACCTAATGTATATCCAACAGTCTATCTCAGTCTATCCAACACACAAAACTACCAATCAAAAATGACAGCCGTATAGCGCCACTCTAATTAGAAGCTTTCTAGTCGCCTGTATAGTAACGCCAATTCAACTTTCGGCTTCACTCCCTCCATAGCAAAAGCATAGAAATGCTCGGTCTCTTATATATGTCGTTAGGTGATACATATTCTCTTTCTCTCTCGCGGGATTTGGAAGTCACGTCTCTTAAGGCGTCACACTCTGATTAGACTTTAGAGGCTCTCTACGGGCGACTGTAGTTGCCCGCCGCAAAGCGACCACCGTGTGGGCTACACTGCAGTCGCTCGACTGCATAGCGCTCACATTTTGTGATAATGAGCAATAAAATACAATATAAAATATTTTGCCGGCATCGCGGCGCTTGAAAAGGCTTATTCATTCAATACTCGATAATCTTTTCTCATGTTACTCTTTTCTTCTTTTCTTATCTCGTGAAGAGTGACGATACATTATAGATGCGGTCATATATGATTTAACCGCAATTGCTTTGTAAGTACGAGCGCGGATCGTACAACCGTACCATATAATGCGGCGGAGACAGCCGTAACGAAGGGGTTAATAATAGAATAGAATGCGCGCAGTACCTCGTAACGATACCACGAATCGTGCATCGCATATCGGATCCGTATTGCGAAATTTCCATTTGTTGCGGGGGATAGTGCAGTTTTGTTTACGATACGCCGTAGGCGATTTTGCGGAATTTTCAACAAAAACAACTTGCGTCGTTAACACTGTATTCGTGCGACGTGCCCCGCGCTCGCGCGCGCACGTGCTTTTTGTCGCTATTCTATGGCCTCGATAAAGCGCCATTCCATCTAGTATGAAGAAGTTAAAAAGCTCGCGTAAGCCCGTATGCGGCCGGTCCATCGGCACGTTCATGAATAATTCACAATTTATTGAGTTTTAATATCAATATCGACGCGATCGCGGATTAATCGACTGGCACGACTGGCCAATATTTATGCATCCTCCTTGGTGACGTTCACCCGCTGCCCGTAATGCCCGACAATTGGCCCTTTTTTTCTCGCCGATTCGAAATTATTTATTTTTCAGTGGCGTTTGACGTGCGCGTCCCCGATAGTTTTTTTTCGCGAAATAGTATAAATGGCTTCATTGAAATTTTATCATTTTACTCCATTTTCAAAAAGTCCATATCTATACGACAGCAACGATATTGTACCGATGAAACGTAATACCGACGTAACATACAATGGAAAAAAACTTGTCAACGTTAAACTCTGGAGATGCAAGTTGCAATATTTTTTTTTTACGATAAGACACTTTCTACTGTCGAGTATTAAAGATTTTGCTTTGGAATTTTATCGATGATAAACGGACGATCGATCGATTGACGCGGTTGAATAACTTGTCCACGTGCGAGATCCTCCGTAGAGATACGCGATAACGCCTGATTTCTCTTTTCCTAATACCATGAAAAGTGTCGCTGAGTAATGCATCGACACGATATTCGGACGAGATGTAACGATAACAAGCTTTATTCGATTCAGAGATGCGATCGTGTGGCTTTAACAGAATGACTGAGCATTTTCGTTTGAAAAGTTTCCATATAAAATTATATACGTATCGATACGTATTATTTTTTAAATAAATTTGCGTGCGTGCGAAATATTAACTTTTAATTATAAGTAATTCAATTTTTAAATACACTATGTTAGTTTTATAAAAATATCCGAGTATTGTAAAATATTAATTTTACCGTAATATAATCTGTAATCTTATTTTATACAAGTTTTATTATACAATAAGATTTTAAATACTATCGTAAAAATTAGTCAAAAATTGTAAAATTATCTTTCAGTCAATAAATTAGTAAATATAAATTTTTATTAATTATCTTTCAGTCAATAATTTAAAATATTTAATTTTTATCACTATTAAAAAATTCACCGAAACGACCTCAAACATCAGGCTCGACGGGTATATACAGTTAAAACTTTTTAATTGTATCACATCACGATGAGAAAGATGTTATTTAAAAACCGGTTGACCTTTAATTTATTATTTAACGTCAATAACTCTTTCGCTCAACATTTTTTCGATAACATTGCGAATATCTACGTCAAGGATCGCACGCAAATTCGCTGGATGTGCGAGAAATTCTCGCAATTTACGGAAATCAGTGATGCGCGTTTTATTGTATGTGTGCAAAAACGTGTTTTGTGCCAATGACTTACGGCCTATTTGCAACCGCATTCAATGCCCCCGTTTTTCCTGGTTTCGAATAACTACACGTTTGCCGACGGTCGATCGCACGACACCGAGTGTGATGGGCATGTCCCCTTTCCCCTTTTACCGCTGATCGATTTTGATTTCACGGCTAGTTTCGCGGAAATTAAATCATTGCGCGATCGACGAAAATGACGGATCGGCTTTGTCGTAAATGCACACGGCGCAAAATTCTCGCCGCGCGTTCCCTCTCAAACAGAGATATTAAAGTTCGACGATACTCTATAGGCGTCACTCAGGCGCCGGGCCTGTCTTTTAAGCATTCCTGCAACGCGAAGAAAACTTTCAACATCCTAAGTAGTGCAAATCGCGAACAATGGAGGGCAAGTTGAAATCTGCCGCAATCCACACACACACACACACACACACATAGGAATCTAAAAAGGAAAAGAAACGCATGTGCGTGTTGCGCATACTACCAGCAATAATAGTTATACAGATTAGGCGTGGGTAGTATAACGTAATAATTCATTACTTTGCCCGGCTTATTTCCGCCATTGTTCCCCGACGCGCCGTTCATTATCCGTAGCGTTATTCCAGTTGATTTCACGAGCAATCACGATTATTACGACGCGCGTATTTCTGCCGGTTTTTTACCGCCCTTGATTTACCGATAAAAGTTTGCGCCGCAGCGTTCACTCACCTGTCAAATTTCGCTCAGCCGCGACAGTTAAAATCTACCAACGAGAGATGCAGAGACATCCAATCTCTGCGCGTTACAACCGACTTCACGAGATCGTCTGTAACGAGAAGCTTTTTATTAAAGGCCGCTAAAATATGCATGCTTGTTATCAGAAATCGAGAGAGAGGGAGTCCGCGTCAAAAATTTTCATTCGTTGACAGAAAAAAAATTCTTCTTTGAGTGACTTTGAACGACAGTGATTCAAACTTGTCTACTTTATTGCATTAGCCATTAATTTTCAAAGTGATATCATTTGAGAGACGTTGAAGACAAAAAGGAAGTAAAAATTTTTTCTATCTATTTAAAACGTGCTTATAAATTGTTTGAATATTTTTCTCAAAGTACATATGTGATAAAAAAAAAATGCTATAAAAGATTTGATAAAAAATAATTCAAAATTTTTCTCATTCGATAATTGAAGGGCTTCCTGCAGCAATGAGCTAACTCACATTTCATAACATTTTATAGAAACGGAGAAAATGAACTCCATTAAAAGGTCTATTATTAAAAGATCATTATTTTAACTGTAGAAAAACGGAGAAAATGTACTCTAAAGATATATATTACTTTTAACTTTAGAAAGTCAAAAATCATACCACGCTATGTCGACCGATCGATCCGATTGAATTTTAGAGGAATACAAATAATCCGAAGGATTTCTCGATCCTGTTGCATCTAAAACCACGTGGTTATCATCCCGGTGAGCAAACACTTTTGACCACAGACTCAGCAACGCGCAGAGAATCCAGCTTGTTGATAAATACGATCACTGAGCAACGATCTCGACTTTAATCTCCAATCGAAGCTTTGCCGATTGAATTTTTCCCGTCGTTTCCGATGCTCGAAGGCCCTGAGCTTGATCTTGAGTTCATGAAGTTTTCTAGTTGCGGATGATTGTAGTTTAGGAGTTTCGAAGCTAAAGGGAATATAGTTTTTTAGATAGAAGTCGAAAAGAATAGGGCTCGTAACGCTCGTCTAATCATAATCAATAATTACGCGTTATTAGAATTGTTCGATTTTATTTTTATCTTGTTCAAACAATTGTATCGCGTTGCGTAATATTAATCTACAATCTTGAATCGCATGATATCGATTATCATTCAATTTCTCTTTCAATTTCGAATAATTTTTCAGTGGAATTCAACATTATCGTGTAGTACCTCACTATCGGCGACTTTACTGATGTCGTTAATGTAACACTATAAGAGAGCAACGATAAAATAAGTCACGTGTGATAACACAGTATCTCTATTTGTGGCTCACACAAATCGACACGGCTCAGAGCACTCGGTTGTTCGTTACTGTCACCTGTCGCGATGATTTCTTTTTGTGCTTGGCGTGAAAAATTAAGCTCACCATTAGAAGTGACCGATTAGTGCTGATAACAATCGGCACATCCGCAACGATTCTTAAAAAAAAAAAAAAAAACAACTGCCATGAAAACGCGACGCAACCGTGAAGATCACCAGGTGAACAGACCGGTCCGACCGATCCGTACGACGCGACTCGCAAAAGCCCGCGCGAGATCGCTCGTATAAATCCTGTAAGAGGGTCTCCCCCCTCCTCCCTGTTCGTACTAAAATCTTGCCTCCCATGCATGGTGTGCCCCTCCACCTCCATCCCGTTTCTGATCGTTCGCTTATTCTACACGAGCGATCGTTTAATTTGGCACGTTTTTTTGCGATCGCGATGATGTTGGGTGTTTTCTTATCCGCAAATTCGAGTTTTCCCTTTGGCAATACGCTCAATACATTCCTTAATAAGCGTCGATTCTCGACAGACCGTGCAAATATAAAGATTGCAAAAAACGCATTCTTCTCATTTGGGATATGTGGGATTCACGTGAATTTTAATGTAATTTAATACAAATTGTCATGTACAATTTTGATTTTGTCTTCGTGTTGTTTTTGCTTCGAAAGCTGTGTCTGGTTTACATTTGTTCATATAACCGAAAATAATGCAAAATATAAGATAAAATTGTGATTTTTAACTCGAATACATAATAAATATATTGAGATAAATAAAATTAATAAATATTTTTTAGGATGACTTGTATACGGAGCCAAGAAGGTGATAAGCTAGCAGACCAAAAGTTAGATAATTTTTTTCGTCCTGATTCACTTGACTGACTTACAACGACTAAGAAACTAAGAATTATATTGGATGTGAAATGTGTTGGATCTCGTTATCTCAGTACCATTATTTCGATCCACTTTTACTAGCAACTAGATATCACTGATAATAGACGGATTAGATTCAAGTATTTTGTTTCGTTGTTATATCAAACTCTTATCACGCAAATCATCTGATAAGAAAGTTTCAATAAATTTTTGGTCTCATTTTGGTTTTTTTCCAAAGCTTTCTGTATCTACAATATATTCTATATCTGCAATACTTTTCTCTTGATGTTAATCGTTATTAAATTAAAAAACTACACGCTTTTGCCTCGTCATAATTCATGTTAAAAATGATACCGCGTTACTGACAAATCATATTGCATAATGAATGCAATTCCAAACAGTTTTATTTTCTATATATTCATTGTTAATGCACCATTTAACGATAAGTTGCTTGAAAAAAAAATTGGCGTATCATTCATTCGTAGCAATTGCAGTTCGTTAATTCACGGGATAAAAAGGATCTTGAGTTATTAATACGCATTGAACTATTCGCGTGCTTGCACGCTATATATGCAATGACAACATGACAAAGCAAAAGGCAAGAGATTAATCGATGTTTATTGAATTCAATTGAGATCATTGCACATTCGTCAAGTTACCAATGAGAGTTATTGAAAATTGATCGTTGCAATCGTCGATGCGTCAATGATGAGATACTTATAGGTATCTAATAATTAAAATAATTTCGAGCATCCTGTCTTTTTTAATCTAAAGAATATACAAATTCATTAATAAAACTGTCAACGAAGCCATTAACAAAAAAGTTACTTCGAGAATAGAGCAATATATATGATTATATTTAATGGTGTCAAAGTGAATCGTATTGTTTGCAAAGTTTCTTTTAAGAGAGAAAGCGAAAAAGAGAAAAGGTGGAAAAGAGAAAGAGTATAGTTTCTCATTATTTAGATTATTTTGGGTTAGTTTTATATTTATATAAATTTACACGGAAAGAACGATTTTGTTGAAAGGTCTACAAATTTTGCTAAAAATAGATCTAAAAATAATTTTTTATTGAATCATCAAAAATTTGTTGGAATGTTAAAACTGATAAGCATTGCTTTAAAACGTTTTGATATTCTAGCAATCATTTTGACTTTCGCACAAAATTATTTTGATTATTAAACAAAAATTATTTTCAGATTTGGATTCAGCAAAATTGTTCTTTCCGTGTAGCAAAATTAACACTTAATATATCTAATTCAATCATGAAATAAAAGAGAGTGCATAATTTCCTCAAATCTACGATCTTTTCTTAACAATTTTTTATATTATTTTTTTTCTTCATTATAATTGTGTTACGTATTGAGACGTATCTGTAAAATTAATGAATTGTCACACAATTACTATATACCTACACTATATATCAACACCACGTATATCGTTTGTTGTGCCGTTAAAATAAAGTGTTTACGACGAAAATAACGTCGAGGTGGGTATGTCACCGTACTGTATGAATACGTCCATCAACACGACCGATGGTGGGATCTAAACGACCGATCACCTTGACACTGACTTGGCAAGGGAGCTAATTCAGTCTGAACGAGGGGGACCAGATGTGTTCATCGTGCAATAAGTCACACGTGAGCGATACGCCGAACAATGACGGCGAGATATTCGCGGTACACATGGTGCCGTGATGTCACGGAATGACAAGGCGAATGCGCGGAATGACGTACCTCACGGCACATTGCACGAGTTCTTCCCCCGCACGCTTAGATCCTCCAGATCGCCCGGATTACACGCGATTGACACGAATTCCAAGAGTGCGCGATGAATGGCCGGTGGACACGGCGGCGGCGGCGCGCGCGGCCTTGCTTTCCATGAACGTCGTGCCATCGCGCATCGTGACGTTTGATTTCGAGGAGACGGACGATACTTGTCGCGGGATAAGAATCGCGAAGACTTCGATTACACTTCGCGGATATGATAGCATTATCAGACATGTGCAACGTGCAAGTGCAGCAATTCCACTGTAAATATAAAACAGCTAAACTAAGCACTAACTTTATCTACATTAAAGCTCTGATCCCGTGTTAATGAAATAATATTTTTCACATATGAATAACAATTCTATTTTGAAGATAATAATCAGCAGAACGAACTGCACGCTGTGGCAAGATTAACTAATTCATATGAATGAGACTTAAGACTTAAGATTTAAGAAAATTGACTTATCATAGCCGATTATTCGTCTCACGTGAGAAGAATAATCGAGCGTGATTGGTCAATTTTCTTAAATCTTAAGTTTCACTGTAAACGCCGCTTAACGTTAAAAATAAGCTCTCACCTCGTTTCATTTCACGGTTTCAATTAGTATGTTATTCTTCATGCAATGACTCAGAGAATGCTATTTTTAGAAATATGTAAATGAAAAACCTCCTTACCTACTATACTTAACGGGCACCTTATTAGAATTGTAAAATAAGAAACGCTTCGGTAAACGAACCTTCTTTAGGGAACCATTTTCACGTGTTATAGTTTTTCCTGCCGAATATTTGTACGCGTAACGGCGGTTGTAAAACGAACGAAAGTTTTCGGTGTGATACCATTAGCTGTACATTTGATGAGGAGCGTGTTAATTGCAATCGCTAGAGACTCAAGTTATACGGCACATCCTGCTAATAGAATGTAGAACGCTCCAACTGGGAAATAGCCCTTATTTGAGAATTTTGAAACAATCGTAAATTTTACCTCAATTACATCCAGCTGAAATACGTTCGCAATTTAACGGGCGATATATAACGTTGATTATATTCACGAAGGCGTAAGTCGACCACGAGCGAAGGATTTTCCGCGATATGGCACTTCACAGAATCTGTCTTTACATTATTTCAAAATTTTATTTCTGGCATCTGTTCATCGTTTTAACATCCCAAGATGACGTCTTAATAACGTCTCTAGCGTCAATAAGACGTTATTGAAACATCATTTGACATCATCTTGTTACTTGGATTTTTTTTTCTTAATTACTGCACGCGCCGTTTTGATCTTCTCGACCCGAAAATAATGCGATCGGCTACACTGAACGCGCGATACTCTATTGTACAATTAAAAATGTATAAATCCCGGAATTGTACTGTATGCCGTATATGAATGATACACAAAGTGATAATGTCACGTGTCAGCCAAGGTAGATATAATTTCCGAGCAACGTTGGAAAATTTTTCGATCAAGCGAGCTTTTCAGCGAGGGATTTGTCGGCGTTTGTTATAAATAATGCTCCGGTAGAGCTCGTTCTACGTCGAGTTAACGTATAGCTTCATTAACGGATTATACCGTACCATAATTAGCTATTGCAAATTTGATTCGGTAACGTAGTTTCGCCCTCTCGTCCCTCGCCCCCTTTCTCTTTCTGTCTCTCCACCCTTGATAAGCGATCATTCCGCCATTACTGCGTCGGGAAAGCGAATCACGTCAAAAAGTGAAAATGTGGCCAGTCTATTTGTTTCATGATCGTATTATATCCGTACGTTCAAACAGATAGGCTGTTACCGGGCTCGTGAAAAAAAAAAGCTTTATCGCAAACTCATTTACGTTATTAGTACGCGTCCCATCTTTTTTTTTCGCTCATCACGCTCATACAACCGTCTAGACTTCACATCAGCGATAAACACGTTTGACGGTAGAAAAGTATAATCGTGATTTCAATAGAAGTTTACGAGCATCATTTTCACGCTCGTTCTACGCATTTCTCGCGCAATGAATGAAGCGTCCGAAAAAAAAAAATATTATTTCATCGACTTAACTAGCATACCGACTTTCGGGCGATTAGACTCTTCAAACGTCTGGATCTCTTACATTATCGTTAGACAAATCTGACTCGTCGGGAATAAACGGTCACTGAAAAGGGCGCCGTGCACAAAGGGTTTCATGTACGACGAGATAATGAAAGGGCCGCGATAAAAGTCGTTTTAACTACGCGAACAGATATCTCCCTCTTTCTCTCTTTCTGTTGAATACGTCGCTTAATTTTCTGCACGATGCAAACGCGAATACCAGTTTGTTTCGCGGGATGTTTAGCGTACTGGCCTCCTCCCCCCTGCCCTGCTGGTCGCCTTCTATTTTCTACGCATCGTCCACTCGTCGTCTTTGTGTCTTTGTGACTACGCAACCTGCGTTACGCGGTCATGGAACTATATATACTTGAGTTAATGTGCAATATA